TTTCAGAAAAAAAAAAACTTGGAAAATGTCATAAATAAGCAGTGAGAAGAAATTTTATCTGATAATTCAGAATCAGCCCATTGTCAACAGATAGTGAATTATTCGTCCACATATGTAGTAGGTCATAATATGTGATATAGGTATAAGTGGATAGTGCATATGAATGAATAGTCCAAATGCACTCTGCTCAGGCAAAAAACATCCATTGGAAGTACCTTGGGATACGTTGAATTATGCCAAGTGAAGTCCCTCGTGGAAGCATCTTGTATAAGATACAGAGACCAACAAGTGTGGTCCTCCCTGGCAAAAAACATTCGGAGGAAGTACCTTGAGATATGTTGAATTATACCAAGTGTAGTCTATCTGGGCAGAAAACATTCAGTGGAAGCACCTTGCATAAGATACAAAGATCAACAGGTGGATTCTGCCAGGGCAAAACTCAGGGGAAAGCTCGTCAGATATATAAGATTAGTCCAAGTGCTGTCTGCCTGGAAAGGCATCCAGTGGTCTTACAGAAACACCCCATCTCTACAATGAGCATTTAGAAATATACAGATTTAGTGCTGAAATCTAATATTCAGCATATCTGACCAGGAAACACCTGCCACTAGGTAGAACCCTGAAATACAATGTATATCACCTGAAAAAGATACAAAATAATAACAGGTCAATTTTATGGAATGGAGGGAAACAGAATGAGTTTGATAGAGCAGCTAGACAACTAGCAACTGTTGAATGAAGACCAACCCTGATCAAACAACCAGGTAAAGAATTGGGACAGATAAAAAACAGAAGGATGGGAAGAATGGAACCCAATGTGAAAGGACCATCTTCTGAAGGTAGACATCAATGTATGGTACACAGACAATGAGGAGGGTCAAATGGTATGGGTAAGGAAAGATACTACACAAGGAGTGAGTCTCTGAGCTGAGGCGAGGGACTGAACAAAAGCCACGCGTAAAGATGAAGTTTGGTGACATCTGGATGAAATATGTCTGATTGTAGTTGTGGGATGAGTGACCTGGACTGAGATAAGGCCAGAAGTTGCTGCTTCAGTAAGGGCCAGAGCAGAGGGAACCACGTCTGAGCCAGCCAATATGAAGCAACTACCAAAACATGACAAGGAGTGGTCTGGACAATGGAAATGACCCTGGAGATTAGTCTGAGAGGAGGGTAGGCATATAGATGAAGGCTGCTCCAATCTTGACTGAATGCATACATCCCCAGAGTTGAGGGGTGTGGGACAGGAGACCAAAAGGTAGTTTGGCATTACAGTGAGTGGCAAATGCATCTATATGTGGTGCTCCTATGCAAGAACACACACATTGAACTACTTGAGAATGAAAGGACCACTCTGTAGGTGGAACTTGGTTGGAACGAAACAAGCAGTCAGCCATAAGATTCATAATTCTGGGAACATGACATGCTAAGATGGTTAAATTGTAACTGTGGGCTAGGTCGAGTATCTGAAAACACAGAGACCTGGACTTGGTTCCCCGTTGTTTGGTGATATGTCTGACAACAGTGAAATTGTCGGAATGAACTATCACCACCCACCCTTGTAGGAGTGGGAGGAACTGAGAAACAGCCAAAAGTTCAAGGAGGTTGATATGGAATGTAGTTATCATGACTGATCACTGCCCAGAAATCTCCCCGGATTTGAGGGAAGCTCCCCAACTTACCAAAGAAGCATCTGTGAACAGGTGAGCATCGGGATGAGGCAAAAGAATGGGAACTCCCACTGTGGTCATTTCCCTGTTAACCCTTTCTCCACGGGTACCATCTACTGCGCATGACACAAGGTTTTAGTGTCTTACATTCAATATTTTATTACATTACTTTTTGTTTATGTTATACCAATTAGAATAGCATAAAAATCTTAACTAATAATCCATACAAGTTTTAGGTTCTTAATTATACAAGGAAATATATGAAAAAATCCTAAATTTCCACTATTGCGACGCACGTAATACATTTTGTCTTAGCATGTCATCATCCCTATTTTATTCATCATCCCTCAAAAATGTACGAAATTAAACATAAAATACTCTCTATAAAATCATTATTGCTCAAACAGACTATAATTTTATAGCCTTCAATTTTGTTTGGTTACAGAGCTATCGAATAGAAAATCAGACCCCTCCTGCCACATCCACTTGTCATATCATCTCTTTCACAATTCGTTGATAGTTTTCTCTTTTACGTTTCATTATATATTACCTATAACCAACAGAAAGTCAAGGTTTTCATCTATCAAATGGCGTATTGTATAACTTTGT